CAGATAAAAGACCTGCAGGATAATTTGAACTAGACTCTCAGGTGATGCCAACAAACCTAAACGCCAACCAAATAAAAGCCCACAAGACAGTGGCACATCAACACTGCACATCTCAAGAGCAGGGAAAAGGGTTTTTTTTTCCTCCCAACCACAAGATCTTTCTACATCTTTTCACCACAGACTCTCAAGTCCAGAAGTTGATCTTATATTCTCCAGAGCAAGGACATTTTACTACACCAAAAATGCTGACACTATAGCAACAAACAACAAAGCCACCATAGCTTGAAGACCAGAGGTCCTACACCAAAGAAAACACTAGACGGAGCTTCAAACACCCAAATACCACTTCAGAAACATTAAAACATAAAGACTTACCTTGAAGTCTGCCAACTGCTGGTTGATGGTTTCCACCTCTGTTCCCACCACCCACTGCAACGCCTCGTTCTCCTCCGCCGCGGTTGTCATGTGGGTCAGCTCCTTCAGCCGGCTGTAAAAGTCCTCGACACGAGACAGTGTGGTTTCCACCTGCTCCTGACGGTTCTTGCCTCTCTCCGTCAGTTTGCTGCACTGTTTATTCAACGTCTCCAACTCACGTTTCAGTCCTAACAAATCGGGGCTCCCTTCGTCCTCCAGCATCTTCTTACATTCACTTTCAGAAGCTTCAATGTCAGACTTCAGCCTATGGAGTTTGCCCAGGAACGTGCGAACATCCTCTGCTTGAGACTGAAGGCTGTCAGAGTCTCTCCCAATGGGGCCCATGCTGTCTAGCTCATCATCGAGATCCGCCAGCTGAGAGAACATCTCCCTGACCTGATTATTGAACTGGCCGATCCCTTCAAGCTTGTTTTCCATCAGCGTACAGCAGTCGTTTACTTTCTGCTTCACAGCTTTGAAGTCCTGCTGAGCCACCTCAGCTTGGCTTAAGAGCTGGGAACAGTCGGACCCATCTGGGGCATCTTCTACTAGACCTTGAGTGAAGTTTTTCAGATAATCCACTTGTGGCTCCAGGGCTTGCAGCACCTCCTGCTGTGCCCTGAGCTTCTCCAAATTCTTGTTGCTGCAGGCTTGTGGCCCTAGTGCATCGTAGATCTCCAGCTGGTGCTTCGCCCCTTCCAGCTTCTTCTCAATGTTCTTGAAGCTCTCTTGAAACTCCTTGAGTCTCTGTGACATTTCTTCAATGGAGCCAGTTTTGGCTTGCAGTTCTTCTGTGATGGCATCCATCTTCTGATTGATGCCAGCCTTCTCATCACGAATGTCATCCTCATCGGTTTGAGAAGCATCAATCAGGATGTCGGCAGCGCTGTTCAGCATCTCCAGCAAGGAACGGCGCTTCTCCACGTCACTCAGCAGAGCCTTTGATCTCAGAAGAGTCGCTTCCAGTTGCACAGGATCCAGAGTTACTTCCAGCTCTGACATCTTTGCCTTGCAGTCTTCCACCCAAGGCAGAAGGTCCTCCATGTGCCGTTGGTACTTCTGAGCTTTCTGCAAACAGTCTTTGAGCTTAGAATGTCTATTGGCAGCTTGCTTGCTAAGCTCTTCCCAGTGTGTTTTGAGGCTGACCAACTGGTTTTGAAGAGTGGTCTTCTCCTCCCCAGGCTGGACAGAAAGCAGTAAAGATTCTCCCTCGGCTACAATCATCTCGTAGGAGCCACTGTGTTGGTTGAGGCTCTTCTGGAACTCTTCTTGTTCCTGAATTTGGCTCTGTAGCCTCTCCAGTTTAGCAGAAATAGGTTGGCTCTGAGATTGCTGGCACAATTTGTCATCTAGCCAGGTCCTGAGTTCATCAAACATATGTTGGAACTGCTGGGAACTTGCGAGTGCAGTCTGCAGTCGGTTCATCCGGTCGGCTGAAATGGAAATAAGATTAGAACGCAACAATTAAGCTGAAATCAAATAAGCAAAGTGCAATTATTTAACATAATCTCAGATGCACCAACTGTGTTTTGATTAACAGGAAGGAGTTTTCCATTGCATCACTTGCCTTTTTGCTCAAGGATTCATAAATTTCTTAAGTACTAACAGGCAACAATAAAGCAGTAACCCAAGTTCTCCTGACCACTCTCTAAAATCAACCTCTTTAGAAACCAGAAGAGGCATCTCAAGATTAGAGGGTGGACACTGGGCCTTCTCCATGCTCCATTCTGCATTTAGGAGCTATTTTTATTTTTTCCAAGCACAGCACATGCCACACTGCTGCAAGCCAGGCAGGCTTGTTGAAGAGCCACCATCAGTGGAACCTGAACATCTCTGTGCGCTCTCCAGGCTCAGGTATGGCTGGAGTGTGAACTCTCTTGTGCTTAGTCCCACAATAAAACACTCAGGAAGCACCCTAAAAAACGATCAGTGGTGCTTCCCCATTATTCTTAGAAGCTCAGTGATGGGAGAGGCCTTTGCCAAAAAGCAAGGGTGGAGTTTGACATCCCAACATCTCTTAAGCAACCTCTCTGCTCTGTCTCACCTGCCAGGTCTTCCAGCCCTTTGAGAGGAAGCGCCACTGTCTCCAGACGTTTCCGTAACTCATCTTTGAGATATTGCTCCCCAATCAGGACAGAGAGGTCATCACAGAGAGTCTGAGCCTCTGCAATCTCCTCTTCCAGCTGCTCCAGGTCTGAGCGGATCTCACTGGTTTCCTCCAACTGCTGTTTCACGGCATCAGGCTGTGTGCTGACGGCAGACTGGCTGCTCAGGCGCTGCCCAACCGCCTTCACCTTCTCGGAGAGGCCCTGGAGGAGCTCCTGGTACTGGGTGCTCTTCACTATGGCTTGGTCAATTTGACTGGAGCGGGAATTGAGGCGTTCTGTTAGCTCGGACCATTTCTGATTAACCCCTTGGAGCTCTTCCCGCACCTGATTAACGGATGGAGAAACATCTCCAGGGCCAGTCAAGATGCTCTGAGCTGCCTGGTTGAGCTGCTCATGCTGTTGTCTGCGAGCTTCAAATTCCTTCAGCATAAACTGGAACAGAAATAACATAAAAATGTTTGCATAAAACTGACAGCTCCGAATACACACAGTCAAAACAACCCAGACCTCCAGGGGCTTTATCCAGCCTACAGAATCGGTAGGAACAAGCCCTGGGGTGGGACAGCAATCGGGCGATTTACTGCGACCTTGCGACCTAAAAAGCTGGGAGGGGTCTGAGACTCCAGTACTTTGCTCTCTCTCTTATTTGTCCTCCTGCTGTGTAATGTAACATAAATCAGTTAGATGAGAAAGAAATCTAATTGTGTTAACTGGGCTCTTTTATTTTATGACGTGGCCGGTTATGGACATGTTAGGACTTGGAAGCAGGAGGTACGGAAAGGGCAGGCTGCCAGGTGGAGGGGCAGCATCAGTGAGTCCTGCAGAGCATCAGCACAGGTCTTGTTTAAAGCAATTTCACTCTCCAAGAGGGGCCAAGTGATTCACTGATGAGTCAATCCAGTGCGGGGAAGGGAGCTTGAGCACTGCGCCCATTTCAAGTTATTTACAGTAGTTTGCGCTCAACGGGGTTTGGAGGACTCGGGAGAGGAGCCATGAAGTCTCCCAACACTTGCTGCATGGCAGAGCACTTACAGGACAAAGAAGTCTGAGTGCAACCTTCCATCTCGAGCACTGGATGAGACACCCTCCCCTCCTGGCCCGTAACCCACCCCGGAGCTGCCTACACAGCTCCCAGCTCACCTGGACCTGCTGCTTCTGTGCATTCAGCATGTTGGGGTCGATGGAGAGTGGTCCCAGCACACTCATCATCAGCTCCTTCTCCATCAGCCAAGGGCGCAGCTGGGTTTCAGCAGCCTGGAAGCTGGCCAGCTGGTTCACCGACTCCTCCAGCTTCTGCTGCCGCTCGGCCGTCGCCTGGCTGGCTCTTTCCCACCTGCAATCTGAAGCACCGGCTGCGTTGGTGGTGGGCACACTCTTGGCCAATCCACCCCTCCATTGAGAAGGTTTTTATACCCTCCCTGTGGTTTCCTCAACAGGAAACCTCCTCAGCTTTTCAGTAACACTAGTGTGGCTCTGTTCACTCTCCATCTAATAAGCCGTTACCCATTTCTAATGGCTACGTGGTCCTGAAGCTCATAATGAAAAAAACCCTTGCAAGCAGGATTTCTGTGCTCTAGTCACTACTGCCACGAGCTGGTCTGACCTTGGGTGAGCCACCTCACATCCCTGGCTCAATAAATGAGGATACTCTCATGTGTATCAGTCCTCACACAGCACATACAGATCTCCTGGACGGAGAACTCCGTTAAACACGTTCCTGCTATTTCAAAGAAGAGAATCTCTGTGCTTCGTTGTAAATACACAGTCTTGTTTAGTCAACAATTAATTACCTAGTATAGCCTTACTAATGACTAGAATTTCATATCAAGCAGTGAAGCTTTTAATCAAAATAATCAACTCATGTCACTAATGCTTTTTTTTTCTTCCCTTTCCTTTTTTTTTTTTTTTAAGAAGTAATTTAAAGAGGCAAGTCTTTAAACTACACATCCATCACAGAGATTTCATTAATCATGACAGTGCTCATCTCAGGAACACCTTGTACACCAGACAGCTTGGAGATAAGTTCGCTATTTACTGAATTTTAATTAGAAGTGACTCTGGCTCTGCTGTGACTTTGGAATCGCCCTGCAACCCTGAACCGTTTCTAATGTGATGTTTCAAGACAGAAGCTTCACTAAGTGCTTCAGGCACTTACTCAGGTCTTCCTGCATCTTCTTCCAGTTTACTGCTTCTGGAGAATCTGGATATTTCTCCAGCAAGCCAGAAAGTGCTTCCTTTACCTTCTGAATCTTCCCAGAATTCTGTTCCAATTCAGCCAGAAATGCCTGGAAAATAATCATGAGAACTTCTTCAGCTGTAGGGCAACGGAATGAAATCACTGAGTGGGAACAAAGCAGCAGCTACAAGCTGGAGTTGGACAATTTCTGTTCTTTGCTCTTTAATGAAATAATTTTATTAGCAGTATTGTGAGCTAACTTGGCTCTGAGAGCAAGGAAAGGCTGGGAATTGCTTTCCAGGAGAAGCTGGAGTGACCCAGCAATAAGGGCTACAGATAAGCTCCTTCCCCCTGAGCCAAATGCCTGACAGCACCAGGTCTAGAAGCAAAGGGGTCGAGCACAGCGTGTTTGTGGGCTCCTGCTCCACAAACCCGCCTGTGATCCCTCCAGGGGAAAGCCTTTCCTTAACCCAGGGCAGATCCTTGTTGCTAATCCTTCTAGTCCTGCTGCAACAAAGCACATCTCTCAGGACCTCTGGGAGGAGATGCTCAGATCCCTGTTCTTTTGCTCTGGAACAGAAGTTACCTTGTTGTGCTCAGCCTGGGCTCTCATCGTCTCTGTCTTGGTGGGTGAGGAGGAGGCATCCAGCTCTGACAGTGTTTGTTCCTTCGACTCCAGCCACTTCAGCATCGAGCTTGCCTCCTCCTGTACTTCTTGCATCTTCTCCAGCATAGCTGAGAGCTGCTGCTGGCGTTCCCGCAGCGCGGCGCCAAGGCCCTGGTACTGCTGGGTCACATCCGACACATCGCACTGGATCTCGGTCAGATCTGTTTCCAAAAAGCAGCCTGAGGTGAGGACCACTGCCTGCTTTACCCACCTTAAGCTGGACCATAAGGTTCTAATCTAGCCCTGGGCAACCACAGCTGGCCAAGCAGGAGAAGCAAGAGGCCACGCTGCTGTCTGTCTGTCTGTCTGCAGAGCAATGTCAGGTTACCCTACAGAATCACAGACTGGTTTGGGTTGAAGGGACCTTTCAAGGTCTCTAGTCCAACCCCCTTCAGTGACAGGGACATCTTCAACCAGGTCAGGTTGCTCAGAGCCCCGTCCAACCTGATCTGGAATGTTTCCAGGGATGGGGCTTCTACCACCTCTCTGGGCAACCTGGGCCAGGGTTTCACCACCCTCAGTGTAAAAAATTCCTTCTTTATATCCAGTCTGAATCTCCCCTTTTTTAGTTTAAAGCCATCACCCCTTGACCTATTGCTACAGGCCCTGATAAAAAGTTTGTCCCCATCTTTCTTAGAGGCCCCCTTCACCTCTCATGCCAGAGGGGACCTTCCATATGTTGACAGTTTGCAAACAAAGCAAATGCCTTGGTGTCTGTGAGACTGATGCAAGCTGAGCCCCCCTGTCGCAATGTCACTGCTAATACAGTGTTAAATAATTTGACATCAAAATACAAAGCCATTTTTATGCACCTATTATCGCGTTGAACCGCTGAACTAACAGAAGCTCATGGGCAATAATTAAAATTGCTCTTCAAGCTGAAGGGTTGGATGCTGTTATAATCCCTTTGAACCAATAAATTTAATGCAGGCCTGAAAACAATCTCCCATTTATCAGCTTTTAACAGCACCTCATGGGGTGTCAGGGTGCTCTCACTCCCCAAGGCTGCCCCTCTCTGTCCTTCAGCCTGCCCTCCCCCCTCCATCCCCGCCTGCCCATCCCGCGGCTCCGGTACCGCGCGGCACGGCCGAGGATCCGTGAGCCTATTTGCAGGCTCATTTCACTCGTGACAGGATGCTGCCGGTGTCACATTGTGGTTTATATTCTCACGGATGGAAATGCACAGACAAAAACAGACAAGGGAGATGGCGAGGTGGTGACAGCGGTGACAGCGAGCTCACCTTTGCAGGTGTGGTATCCGTTCACACTGCCTACCGACCCTCCCGGAGCGGGCAGCGCGGCACCTGAGCAGAGGGGACGGGGACAGACAGAGGGACAAGACAGACGTGTTAGGAATGCAGACAGCAAGCGATGAACAGTCCTGCAGGACACGGACCACACGGGCCACCAAGCACAGACACAGCATCTCCACGGTCCCACCCGCCTGGCGCTGAGGAACCCACCGGCTCGGTGCCGAGCAATCAGAGTTAATTTGATTTGGAGCCCGTTTATTTCTCCTCCTCCCGACACACCCGCACTCCTCACTTTCCCAGAGCTGCTCCTGCCTCATGGGACCAGAAGAGCTGAAGCTCCCTGGAGCTGGGCACCTCTCCCAGCATCGCCCAGAGACCAGCGTGGACGTGACTCCTGCATGGACCACCAGCCCTCTCTCCACTCCTGGACAGCTGCTACCCTGAGCGTGATTTTGTGAATTATAATATCAAGTGAGGATGCTGATTGCCTTCCCTGAAGAGATTAACTTCCCTGAAGAGATTAACTCCCCCATAATCTCCTTTTCTTACAGGACAGAGCTCTTTAAACCCACCTTGGTGCACAGACACACACTCTTTGCCAAGAGGCTCCACGCAAGATGTGTCCCCTCCTTGGACACCAGATATCGCAGCTACATTCACAACCAAAGTGGGACTCATCAGAAGTGTCATTGGGTAAGTCTCTCTCTTTCTAACTACACTTTTTAAAGCTTTTATGTATATAAGGGGCTACAGCTTTGGTCACCCCACATAGATGACCACGTGGGTCACCCACAACAAGCCTCTCCCCATTTCTCTTGGAGGTTTCCCACTGAACTGCTCATCAAGTTAACCCTAATGAACATCCCTAGACTGTGAATTCCCATAAATGCCCATCAATGATGAGTCCAGGGACTTGTTCTCACAAGCTGGAAGACATCTTTTAGTTGGTTTCCAAACAAACCAGACATAATCTCATTGCTTCACAGACTTGAAGCCAAAAAAGGAGATTAGTAAATCACATCTGAATATCACAGCCTTAAATTTCATCCAGATATGAAACCCACATACTGGAGTTTGATTAAAACACTCCAGCCCTCGGGAGGCTGTAGCACATCACCAAGAGAAAGCAGGAGCCACCTCCACGAGCTCCCTGTGGGGCTGAGAGTCCAGACCCCGGCACTGGGGCAGCCTGAAGCTCCCATGCTCCATGTGAGCAGTGGGGTGTGTGTGTCCCCAAGCTGGGCTCACAGCAAACACAGGGTAATTCAGTGCTCGTCACACTACAGCTAATGAAGATGAGTTGGTGGGCTCTGAGCACTCGGCTGGTGCAATAATGCAACAAGCGGCAACGACTCGATCACCGGGCTCAGCCCCATGACACCTGGACCACCACAGGCCCTCTGAAGTTTGTTAAAAAGGGAGAAATCACCCAATTTTTTTGCTTGAGGAAGGCTCTGAGAAGGTGCAGCAGTGAGAGCACAGTGCTGAGGAAGGAGGTGTCCTGGGGAGAGCTGGGCTGCGACTCACCTGCCTTGGATGGGGTGTCGGGGGCCGTAATCTCCATGATCAGGTTCTCCAGGAGGGTCCCTCTGCGACCAATCTCCTCCACCTGAGCCCCCTTCCCCTTCCATTCCTCCAGGAGATCCTGCTCAAAAGCAAAGGGTGGGATCAGAGGCTGTTCTTGCCCCGCTGCATCTTCACTCATCACCTCTGCCATGACTCGGTGGGACCAGGACACGGCACCCAGGGAACTGGCAAAGGGCACATCAGCACCCAGTGAGCAGACTGCACCAGGAAAGTGGGTGTCTGTTTATTTTTACTGAGGGGAATCAAAGAGTGAAAAGCTCTTCCCTAACTAGCAGATGTGTCACAGGAAACCTTCTTCTTCCTCCTACTGTTTTTGGGGACCTCCCTCCTCCTCTTGACACAAACCCAGCCTCACGTGAGTCCAGTCCCTGCAGCTTTCAGCAGAGATGGAGCTCAGTGGTGTGCTGGAGCCCAGCAAGATGCTGTGGGTGAGAGGGACGGGGGTGACTCAGCAGATGCTGCTCTGAGTCAAACCCTTGGCATATCCTGATTTAAAGCATCACAGTGCCAGAGAGGAGTGGGGGCTTGGATGATGGGAGGCCGCCTTCCATGTCTAGCAAGGGGAAAATTAGTGTATTTGGGTCTCCCACTCCTAAAACCACCCTGAAGAGGCAGTGGGGAGGGAAAGGAAACCAGGCAGTGCCCAGGAGAACCTTCCCACTGCTCCCTTCTCTGCAAGGCAGGGACCACTGGATGCACACACACCGGGGGCTGCAGCCTGATAGTGAGCACAGGGGAGCCCAGGATTCCTGAGACCATAAAACACCTTCCCAAGACTCTGCTTCCTGGGATTTATTCCACATTCCAGCATTTCCACATCAGTTGCCAACTTTCCCAGTCTGGTTCTGGCTCCCTCTGCCCACCTGGATCTGCTGCCTGCGTTTGTGCAGCTCCTGGGTGCCCAGGGAGGTCTCAGCGGGCGGCATTTTGCCTTCACTCTCCTTCAGCCACTTCCTCACGGCCCCGACCAGCTTCCGAAATTCATCCAGTTGCTCCTGGCAGGACGACGCATCCTTTTCTCTGCCAGTGAAAAGGTTTTGGAGAGTCAGAGCTCGTGCTTTGCCTTGCAATTACCCCTGCTTGAATGTAGCACAGTTGTGTCTGTCTCTAGGAGCCTTTCTTTTTATTATTATTATTATTAGATGTTGCTTAGGAACAGCTCAAGCAGCACCAGCCAAAGTGGGGTACACGCTGCAGCCTCCCCTCACTGCTGCTGCTGCTCCCCCCCAAAAGCTGTGGCTGGTGGCACTTTTAGGGTCATTCTGGCACTTGCCACGGTAGCCAATAGCCACGGGACCACCACTGTCAAATGCACCGAGCTCTTTGTCCCGGGAGAAGCAAAGCTCTTGGGAAGACAGGGCTCATTCATGCCGCCTCACCCCAGCCAGCTGCAGCCTGGGGGAGGTCGGGCTCGGCT